CACAACCGAAAGGGGTTAATGTTTGGTCAAGCTTTTGTACATATCATTACACAGAGAGCGAGAGAGAGGGAGAGAGAGAGAGATAGCTACTGCTGATTGCGCCACAGAACGGAAGAGGTTAAGGGATGTGTCAGGCGGTGGGTGCGTGGTGTCCCAATAAATTGTAATGCTGAAATTCACATACAAACAATTCCACTGTCGAGTGCTTGTACGGCCAAGGAATTCAATTCAATTCGCACAAAAACTGTCCAAAATATTTCTGCCTGACAAAGTATGTCTGAACATGGAACAAATACCTATAAACGGATGATGATGACCCTAAAGCCGGAACTGCTCACAACAACACCAATGTCCAAGCAGGCCGTTTGCCTTGCAGATACGTGGACACACAAGCACTGACAAGAGCAATTGTGCTCAAGTGGCAGCAACAAAAAACCAACCACACTGAGACACACAAATATAGCCACATCCGGTGGCTAACTTCCGTGTGTCAAGATGCGCTCAAGCATTCATTTATGAATTTTTATTATTTTTTATCTTTGCCACCAGTGCTCCGGGCCCTTCATCCATCTCCTCCCTCTCTCGTGCTGTCTCTTGTTTTGGAAAACCTGACAGCTATTGCTTGGAGAGTGTGTGGCTTGCAGAAAATGCAAACAAAGTTGCAATTAAATGTACGGAAATTGTCGATGCCGATTCCAAATCCGTTTTTAATTAAAATCCTTTTGTGCCACAGGAAGGAAGTCGAGTTTCGGCCAGGTAAACATCCATTTACAGCTGCGAATCAGACACACACACACACACAGACATAAGTTATTGAACTTTCGTGGCGGCTCAGGTCAAGGATTTATCAGTGCTGCTGAAGGCAGGCAGCGGTTTGAAGTTTTTAGCTGGATAGCTGGATAGCGTCTAAAGATGTTAGGATCTTGGAGTTACTTGAGGGTTTTGCAGAGAATAGCTGAGAGTTAAAAGTTAAACGTTGTCCGCTGATATTCATATATGTGTGGGCAAACAGAAGGCAGCTGAGTAGCGCTGGGCACACACAAACACTCCAACAAATATGGCGAACCACAAGCACACAGCACACAGCACACATATGTACGTACATTTACGCGTTGATTTCTCAAACCCAAAGTCAGCCAGGCATGAGACCAACAACTAGCAACAAGCCAGCAGAGAGAGAGAGAGCAGTGGGCCAGTGGGGCAGTGGCTACGGTTTGTGGCAGGCGACGCATGGCCTTGTCAACAGAGTAGCAGCTGTGGGATGGGTGCCAAGGGCTGGGACACACAGATAGACAGCCATAAATATGAATGCACGGAGGGGACGTTGGTGTGGGCGCAGCTTGTTATTTACAGCCCGCTCTCAGATCTTGTGGCATAATTTAAGCACCTTGTTTAGCCACTGTTTATGGTGCTGCCATGTCAGTTGGTGCTGCATCTCTGTGGCAATGCTTTTGAGGTCATGAGGTCAATGGTGGTCATGCCATGCACACACACACACACACAGAGGCAATCGCTCACTGGCGTGATGCCACTTTAAATAATTTATAAACGCGACAAGCGACAAATGACAAACTTGCACATAAAGTTCATCCACATCGCATTCGAAAGGGACTTGCTGCCGTCTCGCAGCTCGACAGGGCACACCCGTGCGATACTTACGCAAATCAACAAACAAATCAACGCGACAAAAGCTGAAATCCTTCTCTGTAGCTTCTCCTCCTCAAAACGATTTGGAGCTGCTGTCAGCAGAAAATACTTTGAAACTGGGAAATAAAAACCGCTACCTCTCGTTCTGTTTCTTCTTCGAACGGTGTGTGGGGACTGCCTGGCCTTTGGCAGAGCCAAAGAACCCTTTCCACCCCCCATCCAGGCATCTCCAGTTGCGTGTCGAGCGCTCCCAACGCGTCTGTTTCTCGCGCTTCTGAAGCTGAGAATTTGCAAACACTGGCACATGACGAGGCCACCTGGGTCACAGGTGTGTGTGGGGGACGCAGCACTTTTTTGGCAGTTATGATTCTGAAGTGACAGCAACGAATATATTCCGCAAGTATTTCTGAAGATGCCATCAAAGTTTATCAGCAAGTTAAAGAACACGGGCGAACATTTTCTCTACCAGATGGCAATCAAAAGTTTGCAAAGAATTTACTTGGAGCTGGCACATCCGATATGTTTGATTATATTTATTCTAAATTTGAGAGGCAACAAGTGGGAGTCCTTTATTATGCTTGCTCACAAGTCCTTCAGTAAGTAAAATATATTCATTAAATATTACCCAAAAATTAAAGCACTGCCTGCCATTCAAACTGCATTAATCGCCGACGGGAATTGTTCAAGGCGGGGCGGGGCGTATCAACTTGATCACGAGGCCATTAAATATGCATTTGCTGATATCGCCTAAATCCGCAAACGAAAACAGCTTATGCGGCATTTGTCGCCCCCTCGAGCGTGTGTCTCTCTCGCTCACCCACTCCCTCTCCCTCTCCCATTCTCTTTGTGTATGCGCTCTCTTTGCGTGTTCTCTTTTGCGGTTCTCTTTTGCTGCGCATCGCTTAAAGTGTGAGTGGCGCCAGCGAAGTGTGCGGTTGACAGTCGTAAAGAAAATAAATGCAAATCCGCAAAAGCAAAGTAAAAAGTACAAATCAAACAGAGAAACGCTCAAAAGTCGCAGCTTTAAATACCTTCAAACATCGATGAATTATTTAAGGTATAAAGAAAGGATCTTTGTGGAAAACTTCTCTGCATTGGCAATGCCCTTACAACCCTTTCAAAGGGTACACAAGCCCAAACAAAACAATGGAATTTAAATGATTTTAATGCGGCCATTGAATTTTATTGAAGTCGACGGATGTCGAGGCATTTTCGGCTCTTGGTTATGAGCTACATGGGTGTCATATGAATACCAAAAGCCATGGCTGGGGCTCCTCTCCGCGTGCCACCACGTTATGGGGCTGGGCTCCTACTGGCCCCATGGCGGCTTTTCATTCGCACTGACAATAATAATAATTGTCAATTGCAGCAGCTGTCGCAGCGACTCGCACGGGCCCCAGCCTTTTTTCATATTCAATTTCAAATGAAATTTTCATGTCACACACCAGCAAACACACACACACACATGCCGCTTGCCCCGCCCCTTCTGGATGCCTATTCAGAATTCATTTTGGTGTAAATTTCACGTTAGCTCTTTGCCAACTTAATTCCAGGGAAAATCTTTTGCATGCTTTTGAGGCAGATGTTGTAGTTTTTATATCCACAACTTTTTCCACATGGCGTACCATTCGCTGGCTCTGAAGCTCTGGCTCTGGGCGGTAATGTGGGTGCGGGCTTAAGCTATTTTGGTATTAAGTTTGAGCTGCTTTGCATTTGAGCAGCTTACATGGTACAAGGTATTTGCATATTAGCCTGTCCATGGCATCATTTGATTAGAAATAACTTCAGGTTAGTGCCGGCGCCAGTCCTCCTTCGAAGCCTGATCCATGGCATTCGGCCTTGCCCTGGAATGTGGCCATCACTAGGCATATAAAATTCAGTAGAAAAGCGAGGCTCTGCTGCTGCTGCTGCTGGTTTTGTTCATCAATTTTGGGTTTGTTTCGGTTGGGCTTTAAATTCATTTGTGCGCCAGGGACTGCATCACTTTGAGTGCTGTCAGACACCGACCAACTTTGGCATAGTGCAAATGGTAATGACATGCGCTCTGGGCCGAGCCCGGACCAGAGCCCCCCACAGACATCAAAACAGAGGCCACAAACAACGAGCATAATAGGCACATAACAACATTATCATTAGCACAGCAGAGGCAGCACATTAAATTGCAATTGCTGTGTGCAGAGAGGAAGAGGAGAAGCTCTCCAATCGGAGTGCTACGACTATATGTAAATCCATGTTTCTAATTGATTTTGTTGCATCGGGCGACAACAGAGTGCCCTTCCCTGCACTGATTTCCATGGTGCCCCAGCTTGAACGCATTTTAAAGCCGTCTTAAAACATTACCAGCATGTGTCCCAGCCATGCCTTTTGCTTACTTCACTCACCTTATGAGTGCCCCGGATCGGCTCGGCTCGGCTTAGCTCTGTGGCTGTTTGCTCACAAATTTCATTTTGATGAAGCCAATGTGTGCTCAGCAGCCGAGAGTTGGCCTTAAACTAGCTCAAAAGCCCCAGCTGAGTGGCTGGCCAACAGGCTACCAGTCGCCCGGTCGCCCAGTCTCAGGTACGGACGGTTGGACAGACAGTCTCGTCATTAGCATATGTAGTTGAGGCTCCCCAACAAGACAAGCAAAAAAGTGTGCAGCACTCCACGGCCACACCTACACGGCACAGCAAACACACACACACACACACATACTTGACTGTGTGCCTCGGACCTGGGGGAAGGCTTGAGTTCAGCTGACAGGCGAGCTGTCAAAGCGGATTTTGGAGCACTCGCTACGAGGTAAACAAAAACAGGGGACCAAAAGCGCAAACATAACGACAGAACGATGCTCTTTCGACAAAGCTAAAATATACAGCATAGAGGCATCCATAAATTGCTTATCTAAGGTATTATTGATTCACAATTAAGGAATTCCAATCAGAGTTATATTATTTACACAACAAACCAGCTGACAAATTCTCTAGACTCTTGCACGAAACTCAAAAGCATACACCTGTCATGGGTTGAGTGTTGGCCAAAAGGGTTTAACTACGTATCTCACTTGTTTCTGTTTCTGTTTCTGTTGGTATTGCTGTTGCTGTGGCTGGGTTTGCCCTTGGCCAAAAATGCATTGTTGTTGTTGGCACATTCGCGGCTATGCGGCCACAATTTTGACGCCCGAGCGAACTGCCCGCCCAGCCTCCACAGTTAGCCCTTCATATGCATAGCATATGCATAAAGTTAATTTATACTAATGCAGCAGGCGCTTTGTCTATGTTCGAGGGCCGCACACATGAGTGATAAATGTGGCTAAATCTTGATGAAAGGCGTGACTGATTTACTTTGTTTACTTAGGACCGCTCCGACATCCACGAAAATATGTTAGCCCGGTTTCAGATTGTGTATTTAGAGTCTTTGAAGGTGTCTTTACAGAACATTAAAGTCCCTTTTCTCCATGACCTCGGCGGGATTGCCATCATCATCGACCAACAGATGCACGTCCGAGTATTTTATCTTGTCCAGCTCCTCATAGATGCGATCATGGAGGAACAGCTCCGGATACTAGCAGAATATTGATTAATATTTTAAATGCTTATGTGAAATCAGAGACTTACCATTTTGGCCATTTTCCAACAGTCCAGCGCACTCTTGTTGCGATTCAAACGCAAATTAATGATGGCCAAATAACCCCAGACATCGGGCACAAAAACCTCAACTTCGGTGCAGCGAGCCAGATACTCAATGGCATCCTCCAAGCGATTCAGCTACAAAATACTCTAGCACTTATTGCACTTTACAGTCTGTTAGTAGCTTACATAGTAGAGGGTCAATCCCTTTCCATAATTGAGCAGGAAGTTCATCTTTTTGCAGTGTGGCGGACACATGTCGTAAGCCTGCTGGGCCAGCCCATATTCCCCTCGATCGAAGGCCAGGTGTGCCAGCCGCATGAAACTCACCTTAAAGTGTTCATGCTCCTCTTCTCCATCTACTGTTAGCAGCTCTTTAAAGTAGAGCATGGCCTCGTCGAACCGTCCACGAGAGTACTCCGCATTGCCATTGATGTGCGCCTGATAAAAGCGCTGGGAATGGGTTTGTCAATGCGAATTTTGTGACAAAATAACTCCTGCAAATCTTACCATCAACCTTCCAGTTTCAGTTTCATTTGTGGGAAAGATGAGCACCCTGAAGTCGTTGTCTATTTCCCCCTGAAGAATCTTCAGCGTTGTCGTCACTAAATAAACTTCAATTGCTGTGAAACACTGCTGAATGTCGCTGAAGACAACCTCGGCAAAGCCATAGGCACCCAATCGAGCAAACGTTGTGAAGACCGGATAGAAGTTCAGGTTCATCATGGTACTCATGGTGCTCAGCTCAAAGTCCTCGGGCAGGAAGAGCTCGAAGAGTGAGACTGGGGTGCCGCCGAGATTCTTGCGCGGCACTGAATAGAGATTCTCGATTCTCAAGCGGGTAAACTCCATGCCCGGCAAATAGTCGCTTCTCTTGTAGTAGCAGTACAGCAGAACATGGACGTCCAGGTCCAGGCTGTTCTTGCTCGCAAATACCCGCAGACTCTCCATCATGCTGGCATATGCCTGGGCAGAGACCTGCTCGTCCTCCGATTTCAGTTCCAGCATGTAGTCAATGTACAGCTTGCCCAGGGAACTGGTGGGATAGATAGATATTTATCTCAGGATTAACTCCACTTTTTGTGTTGGTTTTGACTCACGGAAAGTATTCCCCGACCCAGCCACCGCCTGTGGGGTTTTTAAAATATCTCGAGGCCTGCTTGAACTGGAAGTTCTCCAGGTTGTTCAGAAAGTTGTAGAAATTGAAGAGCAGCGGATGGGAGTTGTTGTCCCTGAGGTCTTCGAAGATCTGCCCGGCCAGGCTGTGCTCCCCGATGAGGCACATGAGACGCAGCTCTTCCATGAGGTGCATCATGTGCAGCTGCTCGTACTCAAAGTTGACCACACAATTGCAGACACTCTCCCAACTGCAGGCGCTCAAAATCTTCTCGATGCGCTCCATTAGCTCCTCGTACATGTGCGTCAGCATCGCCTAAAGGGGATACATAATCATTGAAATTCCCGCTCAAGTCTGGAACCCACCCTGAACTCAAGGTTCGTCTTGGTTGGCATGCGAATATTGAAGTCACAGCCGCAAATTTGGAGCATCAGATTGTTGAGATTCGCCAGCTGACAGCAGAAGTAATCCTGCCCCTGCGCAATGTTCTTCAAGTTCCGCTTCACAATGACCGCAATCATGTCCGCTATTAGATCGTCGAAGGAGCGATAAAGTTCCAATATCAGATTCGCATCATCCTCGGGCTCGTTGAGGAACGTATTGTCGAAGCAGCGCAGCAGCTTGGCTCTCTTGAGTATGTTCTCGTTGTACTTGTCCAGGTTCTCATTGCGCTGGGCGATCGACTGAAAGAAGCAGATCTTGACAGTGGCAAACATGGGACCCACATCAAGGCTGCTCCGCAGCACTGATTGCTTTTTAGAGCCACTCGAAACGGGTTGCAGAGTACTGGCAAAGCGGCAATAGTTTACTGGAAAAAGTAAAGGAATTTCAGCTGTAAGTCTCCTCAAATAAAACCTTAAACACTTACCATTTGGATAACCAAAGATGCTGGGATTAATCACACCCTCGTACAGGACATTGGACGGGGTCTCCTGGTACAGTTGCAGCAGCAATTCGTAGCTATTGTGGACAACAGCAGCCTCAAGGATGTGTCGCATCTCTTCGTTGAGCACATAGCGGTGCATGGAGTTGTTGATGAGCGCCAGGTCCATGAAAATATCGATGGCGTTGCTCCTAAAGTCGACATCCTTCTCCCACAGCACCAGGCGGAAAACGCGCTCCAGCTTCACGCGGATATTGGTGTCCATTTGATTGAAGCTGAAGTTTTGGAAGGGATTGATATCCCGCTTGATGTTCTCCCACACAATGCTCGTGTTCTGTTCGCTGATGACCTCCGACCCAAAGCCGTAGAAGCCGCAGAAGGGCACCAGCTGGTGCACACCCTGGTCGTTGGGCTCTCGGGAGCGAAAGGATATGCTGAGACCCAGCTCGGAGGCCTTGTCGTGCAGCTGCTCAGGCACATTGTAGATGGACTCGAGTGTAACGAATGCCAGGTTGGTGAAATTGAAATCCTTGAGGATCGGCAGAATGGAGTACATGTGCCAGATGGTGCAGGTGGTCAGCTTGCCCTCGGGTGCGCCTTGCAGCTCCGGATACAGATAGACGCTGATGTCGCTGATGAAGCGGCGCCGCTGGAACAGCTGCAACAGATCGCAGTGACCGCGCGAGAGCAGCTCTAAATGTTCCTCCGTAAAGCCTCCCTCCTCACCATCGTCCTCATCCAATGTCAACTCATTAGGTGGACCCTCTGGGTGGGTTTGAGTAACCGGACTGACCTCGGCTCCGGCTAATGTCGTGTCTATGGAATCCCCAATCAAGTCTGGCTCTGGTGTTCCTGTCGAGGCATCGCTTGGCTTTGCCAACTTCTGCACCTCGCTCTTCGGGAGCCTGGGCACCCGTTGGTAAAGTGTAATCACCAAGGGATTATCGCTAAACGCATTCATATCCTCGATATCATCCTGCATTACACCCATGGCAAAGACGGGCTTCTGCAGGTCGAACTCGTCCTGGTAGATAATTGTCTCCGTTGTGTAGCGCTCCTGCATCTTTTGCAGCGTATTCTTGGCATGGCACAAGTGCAGCTCCAGCGGATGCTGCGTCTCTGGCAGCATGCTAATTTCGTTCAGTTGGATATAGAGAAAGACCCGCGGTGGCTTGGGTTTCGGCTGCACCAAGGCGTCCACGCTGGAGCTTTCGTTGCTCACTGTGGATGAGGAAGATTTCTTCTTCGAAGCTCGCGAGGCGCGACTCAATGACTTCTTCGTTGCTCTGGTCTTTTCCATTGCTGAAATAAAATGTGAAATAGCTTGTTAAATATTTACTGTGTTGAAAGGAATTGCTTTGATTCCTGCGTATTTGTTTAGATAAGACCACTCCTGCCTACCAGCACACGTCTGAGTATCTCTTTTATACACGAAAAATAAGAAAATTCTAAACAATAAACACTTCAACAAGTTGGCTGCCTCTTTTCTCTCTACCCTCCTTCAGATTAATCTGGAACTGTATCCTCGCTGTGACTGTGGGCTTTATGGCTCCCAGACATATAAGTTTTATTCGACACGGTTGGGTCGTAAACCATATTTCGGCAAAGTGCTAAAAAGCGTGGGCCATGATGCGGCGGCAGCTTGAATTTTATATGACAGTTGAAAAATCGAATCAGACATTCTGTTGGCTGCCTGATAAAGCTTAGACTTTATTCAGACTTTATTTGTACATCCTTGCCTAAGAACAGAACAATTAAATGCCATGCCACTGACTCGCAATTAAATCCAGTCTGCTGGAGACGTTCAAAGTCAATTAATCTGATATATTTTTATTCTTTTTGCCGCTCTTTGCTTTCTTTAAAATTAAACTTTCAAGCAAAGTTTGCACATAAAATAAAACGACACAAAGGAAACTAAAATAAGAGAACGAAATGAACACTTGACCTGTGACTTGTGTGGGCTAAAAAATATGGCAAACATAAGTGAAGCTCTGCAAATGACGGAGCAGTGGTCGGGACATGGAATTGCCTAAACTTCAGCCATATATTGCATTCATGGCTTGCTCGAGGCTCGAAGCTCGAAGCTCGATTATTTTAAGCGGTAAGCCATGAGGGCTAGTTTTTCGGCAAAAATAACTCCGCTCAGCTGGGTATTACTTTTGGGTCAGCCTTTGGCAGTTGAAATCTGCATGGCCACTCCAGATTCCATGTGTGTGAATTTCTAGAATCCCGCTGGGCTCCTGCCGAGGCTGCTGCCAGTGCCAAAGAAGCGCTTTCAACTTAAATATAACTTAATCCTTTCTCTGGCGTCTATGCACACACGCTCCGCTCTCTCTCTCTGTGCGTTGTAACTTACGAATTATGGCGTTAATACCACTGTGTGCTTATGAGACCGCTCTCTAAGCGTGTGTGTGTTACTTTAGCAAGTTGACTTTGGGGATCATCATTAGAGAGAGAGAGAGAGAGAGTGTGTGTGTGGCAACATGCAAGTTGCGGTTTGAGTTTCTTATGTTAAATGCCTGCCGACGTCAGGGCTTAGCTGCAGCGACGTGCAGCAAAGGGAAGTTATTTGTGGAAAGAAATCTACACACGATTGCCATTAAGTTCTCGTCAAATCAAGGTGTCTCTTCTATAATTTAGTTATAATCTCAGCCCAAACAAATACTTATAATACCTTTGTCAAATCCATGGCTATAATTTAATGCAGATTCTATTCCTGCAGCAAATATTTGCCTGCATCTATCCCTTTTTCATTGAGCATGTGTCTGGCAGTAGAGAGTAGAAAAAAACTCTAAGACCGCAACACAGCCAGCTACAACCTAATAATGGTACTTGTGCGACAACCTGCACCCGTGGCACTGCCAGAGTGTCAGCAGCAGCAGCAGCAGTGGCATCAGCATCAGCATCAGCATCGGCCAGGGGCAGAAGGAGTTCCTCCCACACACTCACACCCAGAGCTAGAGATAAAACGGAATTTGCAAAATGTCACGTATGACGTTCGTTGGCAACTAAGAAGGAAATTTACCACTAAATGACGCCCAGGTTGGGGTGTGCCCATCACTGGGCATAGCCCCAAAAGGGAGTTGAGTCGGGGCTGCGTCAGTGCTCGATGATGTGTAAAACGGAAGGCGGCCAAGTTACGGCAAATTATGGCAAACTTTTGCGTAAGCAGAAGAAAAGTCTTGCTAAAAAAGAGTCTTTGCTGCAAATGAGTGCATGAAAAATGCAGAAATTCCCCAGAGAAAGTTGAATCACGCACTGGAGTTGCGCAAGGAGTTGAAAAGCTCTTAGTCCGCGAACTCGGAGACTCATGCGATGGAACATTTGCCAGTTGAGAGATACACAAAGAGGCGGGGCAGAGCAGTGATGTGATTAAAGCTAATTCTGCCATGCAAATTTAATTTTGTTGTTTTTCGCGATATCTTTGCTCCTAAAACAAGTGAAAATATTCCAACTTTTGGCCACGGAACATGTCAGCCCCAGTCCGTGGCGCTCCAGCCAAATGAGTACGGTTTATTTGCATCCGCTGGCGACATCATGACATACCCGCTCCAGCCCTCTATATCGCTGCCCTGGGTCGTGTATCCGTAGTCGTAATGCACGCCCATGGCTGATTGGAGTTGATGCTGCTGTTGTGGCCCCCTGCTGTTGCATGCAGGAATGTTGGGTGGATTGGCTGGTGCAGGGCATTGCAGTGGAAAACCACCGGGCTCGGAGTTCCGTGGCGGCTGGTACTGTAGTCGCGCTCGTGTTTTTGGTCTGGAGGATTCTGAATGCTGCGGGGGGGGGACATGCTGCTCGGTCCAGTCTGCTGCTGTTTCTGCAGTTGTTGGCCAGGAGCTTTGACTGGTTTCTGGGCCATGGATTGGCCTTGTTGGCCAGCCTGTTGAGCACCGGCGGCCGCCTGCATGGGCACACCATCCACCATCCAAACCGGATAAACATTGCCACCAAAGACGAGGCCGCTGCCATATATTAGCAGGCCGTCGGGCGGTATTTGCGGCATTTTCTGCTGCTGCTGTGACCTGGACATGATTCCTTTTCACTTGTCGCTGCTCAATTTCGATGTTCGACTTCGCCAAAATAATACTTTCCAGAGCAAGAGCAAAGCCTACTGCGATGCCCAACCCAGAGTCGTGGTATAAGTGCTCATTAATTTGCCACATGCCAGAGAAGGCGACAGACTTTGAAGAGTTGTTTATGGCACTGCCAGTCAAAGGATCTCACGCCTTATCAGCACGTACACTCCACATACACGCCGCAGAGACTTGCCGGGTGGCATTTTTAATTAAAATGAGTGAAGGACTTGAAGTGCGCTGCCTAGACGATGCCAGAGCACACAACAAAGGACACGGAGCCAGGGCTAATCGTGATTAAAAGTAGGCACAAAGTTGCTGAGCAATTTATCGACTGAAAAATCTGCATTCAGCCTCAAGCGCTGAATAAAAATAAAAACCATTTAGAATTATAGAATGACGCAATTAACTGTAGAGAATGGTTAAACCGAAAACTTCTTAGAGTATTCTTCTCACCAAAGGCAAACCTTCAAGCAACGTTTAGGTAAAGTGTGCGGAGACTTGTGTGTCATTACATTTTGAAATTCCAGCACTACAAAATTAAATTTGGCTCCAACAAATACCCAAACGGAAACGCTAACATTTCCCGGACCAAACACGTTAGTAGAAAAACTTCTGGCAGCAATTGGTAATTGGTCAACATGGCCGACATTGACTGCGAGCCTTTCAATCCCTTTAATGTTGGTCCGCCCAACAGCGGCCAACGGGTGGAGTTCAAAATTCCCACCAGCCCCACGTATCCGCCGCCGGTGTTTGCCATTATGCCACAGGACAAGCAGGGGTACGTCAAGCAATCGATTTCGCAGGAGTCGGCGCCTGCATCCCGCCTGAAACTTGGCCAGTCTAAAATGGGGAAAGTGGCCGTATCGCAGGCAATCAACGAGGAGATGGCCGCTGCCAAGCAGCAGGCGGCTGCCCTGGATGATGAGGAGCGCTTCGATGCGGGTGGCATCTCAAAGCTGAGGCTGCCAAACTCCAAGTCCAACATAGACTCAACATCGAAGGGCCAGTCCAAAGTGTCTGTCAAAACGCTGCTGCCGGTGAGGTCGCAGCGACAGGCCAAAAATGGATCGACATCAGGGTCCAGTGTCGGCGCGAAGGCGAGCAAGGTCTCAAGGGCAAGTACTCGCAGTCGGGTGAGCACAGGGTCCAGCATCAAGTCACGGTCGAGTTCCGCCTCCAAGCAGAGCAAAAAATCACAGTCGAGCAATGCCCAGTCGAGCACCGCTGCCTCTCTGGGAAGATCCTCGAGCAGAGCTTGCAGTAAATTGAATCCTCGTTCGACCACCGATTCGAGCGTCACACTAACGTCCAAGCTGGCTAAACAACATTCCAAGGTGGAGTCGGTCAAGGCCTCAAGCTCAAAGGACGTGTCAAGGTCTTCTCGCACCTCCAAAACGATTGAGAAACCAACTGAAAGGGCCTCCGAGAACTTATCCCAACATTCGGTGCAGTCCAAGACCAAAGACGCTACTTCCACTGTTCCAAAGTCAAAGAAGAACGAATCAAGTGCCACTCTCAAGTCGAAAATTGCGTCATCAAAGGCCTCGTTGAAGGACAAGGTCAAGCCAGCCAACAAAATCAAGTCGGTAAAGACCTTGGCTGAGGAAACATCTTTGATCGATCAGGCAGCTAAGTTCACCGAACGCCTCAAGGCAGGCGATGAAGATAACTTCAGACGCTACAGTTCGCTGATGAACAATTACTCAAGGAGGGTGCCCGAGAAGCTGTTCCGAGAGGATCGCATGTCCTTCTGGTTCCAGGACGCTGTGCTTTAGTTTATGGCAATAGCAATACAAATACATACAAATTAGCCGCATGAAGGTGCTCTGGGGTCTTGGTGTTGCTTTTTTAAATGGGGTTTGACCTCGGCCAACATTTTTGTCATTAATGCTGTGGAAAAACTATGGCCAGAAGAGACACAACTCTAAAACGAAGTTGGTTCAGCACAGAGAGTAAAAGTTTGCGGCTGGTTAATTTTGCATTGCAATTAAAACTGTGAAAATTAAATATTTAACCTGCCATGGCCTTTGTAATTTACTTTAATCAAGTATTAATAACGAATGCCATAAAAGGTTTAACATCAATTTCCAAGTTCAGCCTTTGACGGGCAGAAAAATAATAATTGAACTGGCATTATTTATTATTAAATTCAAGTCGGAAAGAGTACAAACTGTTTTGGCCAACTTTGCCGTTTCCGCCGATGGGGAAAAGCCGCTGGGCCGTTTTGTTTGGGGTATTGTGGTTAGTTGTATTTTATTTATTGCAGTGCAGAATGCTAATTGCAGCTAACATAAAAACAGTTGGTTAGTTGCTGGCCTAATCAGCGTCAGCATTTGGCCAAGAGCAAAATTGCACCGGGACTTGGGTTGTAACAATTATAACAAATGCTTGTGGCTTTCATTTAATTGCATGTCAATTTGTGAGCCAGTGGCCCGGGCACTCTCGGACGCAAGTAGGCCACAATAAATGAGGCGAGTCGGCAGAATATTTATATGGAAATACAGCGATTTTTATGCGCGCACTTGTACAATAAGGGAAACAACTGCAATAATGGCTGCACGGCGCATAAAGTACCACAAATAATAGCAACAAACAACTTTGCTAAAGTGCAAAAAGCAGCAACAGAAATAGCGGCTGCGGCAGCGGCAAAGGGCCACGAAATGAAGCAAACGCCGAGAGAAAAATATATTTAATACGAAAAGTTTTGCAATAACGGAAATGAAATGGAAATGGACGCGCGCCAATAGACATAAATGCGACTGTGTGTGTGTGTGTGTGCAGCCGTTGCCGCCGCCAAACAGGATACAAATAGGACACGGCACCAGGAGCCGCCTCCTCCACCACAATCTCAATGCAGGCCGTGTAAAACAAAAGAACCATCGTGTACAATGCAAAAAACACAGCCAGCGTAAACCAACACAGATCCCACAGATCCCCAAAGTAAAACTAACAAACAATATCCGCAAAAAGCAATTGCACAAAGGCACAAATGGCACCACCGCACCGCACCATTCAGCGCCTTCATTCAGCCCATAAAATATTAAAAACTATACAAAAATATGCACAAGGTGCTGGAGATATTTACCTTGGCTCTTCGAATGGATATGACTGGGTGGAAGCAGAGCGATTAGTTGGCAAATTGTTGGTGGAAGTCTCTTCAGCAGTTCTGCTGCAAAACTTTATCTAAATTTGCAAATCAAATATACAATATTTGAGGATGATCTGAGGCAAAATGGTGGTAATCAAATGATTTGATTAACAGCGGAATAATAACTTCTTATTATTATCATTTTAGTTGCAATATTGTTGAATTTCGATCATGGCCTGGAGTTGAACAAAGTTTAAATGGTTTTACAAATTATTGAACAAGTTGTACTCCGCTTCGCCCTTGGTCATGTCCCGCTGAATTCTCTCCCACAATCCCGGTCTCGGAGTATTAGTTGTTGTGACTAGCACAGTCGGTTTAGTCGCTTTATTTTTGTGTGCTGATAGTTCGCGACCGTAATTGGGATCCAGGATTAGGAACCTTTCCTCAGTTGAATAATCCTCCCCATTCTGCTGATTGTCTGAACTCGGTGCCACAGCTGCTTTTGGCTTGAAATTTCCCGCTTGAATGAAGAACACCAGAAAGAGCACTAAAATGATTAGGCCGAGAATAATGTGCTTATTGGCCAGCAGTTTCTTTGCGGACAAGATCTTAGGGATCCTGATTGTTTCCAAAGTAAGCATTTTTGTTTTTTCCTGCAAAAAACTTTCTGTCGCCGGAATTGTCTGACTTGTTTTGTGGTTACTATTATTGTCTCAGCAAACGCAACGACTGCTGTGTTTGGTTGGCATATTTATACATCAATTCTAAACATAATCAAAATCTAATCTGCACTGCCTTTGAGCTATAAGTTTTTCTCTCAGTGATTCTGTTAGCGAGCGTCCGTGTACGTAGATGATCAAACAAAACCCCACTAATTAATTGCTGCCCTTGCACTGTCCAGGGGCTGCTGGCACTGAGTCAACACTCTCTTGCAAAGCACACTTCAAGCCTGTCGCAATGCAGATATTAGCATGGTGCATGTCTTTTTGTGCATGGCACACACATTGCGTATGCGTAATAAAATTGAATTAACGCAATTTGTGGCACAGGGCCGCCCGCAGGCACTTGTTTGGGTTGTCCGGTAAATAATGTTCCCCAAATGAAAACATCAATTTAGAGCAAGCTGCCGCCAGCCTTGTCAAGCTGTCTGCTGATTTACTTTTACAATTATTATTAGTTCCACTTGCTTATTGACAAAAGATGTAATACTCTGCTCATAAGTACATAAATTGTACATGAGTATCGCAGATACAATTGTCCATTTGCCGTTGATTTGTCGGCTCAAAGGAGAGTGTTGTGCCTCGAAGCCATTTGTCGTATTGAAATAAGTTGGTCGAGCTTAATTAACAGTGTGAAGTTTCGTTTGGATTGAATTTAATTTGTTGATTCCCAAAATGGCAAACTCTATTTGCTCTAGTCGACTTATGACTGCCTTGGGGCGAGCACAAATCAATGAAGAACTTTCAAACAATCAGTGAATGGATTTCATGGTGCTGTCAGCAGGATATATTAAAGAGTTTAAATGTATTAAAATTGTATCCAGTGCCAGCATTGAAATATATGTGTGCTGTTTGTCGTCCTAAATAATAACTGTCTGATTTCGATAAGCCCCCGGGAGACACGTTGCATAATTTGGCCATGCAATTCGCTTCAATTCATTAAATTTCATTTAAAACACACAAAAATTTCTCTTTATTTTTCTATCCACATTTTCAATTAAGTCTAAATGCAGTTGATTAACAGATTCAATTTGCACACAGCGGCCGAGTCTGTGGTTGTGCGTGAATTTTTCGCAAATGCAGCGACTTGAATAATTATCGGCGAGGCATTAAAACATTAACATTATCTGCAGCATTGTTGGACGCTCGCTTGAGTTTCGTTTAAAATTAATTTATAATTTGCATTATGATAAATGAAGAACGCTTTTTAACGGACTACAAATCAAGGCGAGAGTGGCAAAAGTGAATTTTCCGAAAGCAAAGCGAAGTCAACGGGAAATGATTCATGGTCCGGTCCCATTGTGCCACAAGTCCTGGCACGGGCTCTGGCAGATTTTAGCCTCGGCTCTGATTTCATAGTGAAAGTCAACCGAGTCATTTGTCGTCATAACTTTTGTCATTAAAAGCAATCCTGGTGCGGAGACTGGGCGTGGCACTGCTACGTGCTGGGACAGACAATGGCGACGAGGCGAAGCACCCGTCTCCCGTCTCCCAATCCCATTCCCAATCCCATTCCCATTCCCATTCCCTCCCAGTCTGTGTATACATTTTTCATAACATGCTAAATACGTGTATGTATTGTGGCTTTCTCTCACTCTTATCTTGGTGTGTGTGTGTGTGCAAGTCACGTTCCTTAATATGCCTTTGTGTGTGTGTGCGACGGGCAGGATAAGTGTCCGAGTCGCCTATGTCTACGCGTCTGTGGCTTTATGCGTCTCCATGTGTGTGTGTGTGTGTCTAACACATTTTTAATTTATTTTCATGCCACTTCTGTCAGGGAAATACGCACACAAATACAAGAAGAAATGAAAGCCCTATACACTCTGCCATTCCACTTTCCATTTGAATTCAACTTGGAATAACTTTTTAAAGGATACTCTCAATACTAGACTAGCTGATGATCTCTGCGCTGCAGATGTACCCTTTGCAAGTGTATAAATAACTTGGATGTGTTTTTCCTCAAGCAGCGGGTTAAGAGCCCTTTTGAACCCTCGAGGGCCGGTCAGGAACAGGCTCCGTCTTGGTCTTAAGTCTTGTGTCACAGTCCCCAAGTGGTGGGTGGTGGCTGGTGGGTGGAACAATGCACATTTTGCTGTCCTTTGGTCCAGGCACAAAACAAAACATCTCTGCAGCAAGCTGCATAATCAGACAGTTTGTATCAAAATATCTCCAAAGACTTGAACAAATTTCATGGAAATGGAATACAAATTTAATCAGTGGATCTCTTTCCCACTTGGCTTCCAACTATTGGGTCTGCCCAGATTAGTACCACCGAAAAAATCCCAAATGCTAAGACCAGATCAACTAAATAAAATTCCATTCGCAGTCGTAATCCTTTGAAATTAATTTGTTGGCATTGTGTCAGTGTCTCAGGACTTGCCATTGCGTTGGCCATTTTAATTGGTTTGCGAGCACATAAGCCGCCCATAAGTCGCCCAGGTGAGGCGGGTTAAGGGCTCGGCTCCTCAAAGGGTTGGCATATATGTGTACAGCCAGCCGACTGTTGGTGGCCCAAGATGCAGTTGGTGCCCGCTTGGCTGCCACAGGCCTGGACATTTGTGGCAAATGGAAGGCGCTTAAGATTAAAAAGCGTCGCATGGACTGGAACGATGCTGAAACCACAGAGCAAACACAAACACAAATAGAGATGAGAGGGTGAGCTGCTGCGAGGGGCAATGAGAGGGTGAGTCTGAGAGAGGCACGGGAGAGAGACAAAATAAATATGTGAGTGCTTCGGGCAAGGTAGTCGACGATGGCAATACCCCAAGTCCGATATTGAAATGGGAATGACTTGAAAAGGAGCATTTACCATCAATACAGTTTCGATTTATATAAAAATAAATTAATTTAAATACTTCTGCTATTGCTTGAGAGGTTCCATGAAATGTATCTTGTGACATTTATAGGGTATCGTGGGAGCGAAGCATTATGTGTGCCGACATCACGTTGCTGCCCACATGTCCAAAAGCAAACATTTTAAAGTTCAAAAGAAGGTCCTTAACCTGCTGCCGGG